TGCTGGGAACTGATCAACTAAGGGCATTCTGGAGGGTTCTGCTGAGTGGGTACATTCCACAGAAATGGCCTTTCTCATGACATTTGTCTCAGCTAGTCCATGCAAGTCTGTGAGCTGGGGACTCCTCCAATATGGAAAAGAATTGCTTCATTTCTGGATGTCCTGTTTCCCTTTGGAAGGACCAGCTTAGGCTCCCATCTCAGTGGGAGGCCACTTGGGTCAGGTTGAAACTCCCTTCGTTTCCCTGGAGAAATGCAGTGCCTTCTTTCACTGCTAAGTATCAGAGACACGGCAAGTAACAGAAGATATCTGGAATATCATATAACGCAAACTCGTAATGCCTATGAAGCTCCTCTAGAATAAAGGAGGGGTTATCCCAGGCTGGGTCAGGAAAGATCATGGTCTACTAACAAAGCACAGATTTGGGGGAGAGCAGCTGAACTGTGGGTTACGTGCTGGTCTCCATGTGATATGGTTGGGAAAAAGGAGGCATGATTTCTTCCAGCTTGGTCACAAAAAGGTGATGATTGGTAATGCTAAGGAGGAGAACAGTGATGATGAGGATGATCACGAGGATGATGGCATTAGCTATCACCGACTGAACCCTTACTATGTGCCAAGTACAGTGCTGACTAGTTTATGAATGTGCTCATATGAAAATCTCTGTCTCATAGGCATGATTAGCCCCATTCTACAGATGAGGCAATTGAGGCTAAGTTAACAATCCAATCACCCATAGCTAGGAAAAAGATGGAACCAGGACTTAACTTGGTTTGTAACTAAGTTAGCTCTAGTTTGTTAAAACTGGGGTATCTGTTTCCTCATCTGCAAAAAAGCATGGGCTAACAATCTGGCTTTATAATCTGGAATGATCCCTGTCCTCATTGCCAAGATGAAAGGAAAGTTTGGGATCCCAAGGAAGATGGTGTTCCAACGGAACTGTTCACTCAGAGGAAGGCAGCTGGGAAATTCTATGGCTCCTCCTTTTATGAGCAGTGTGTTATTCAGGCCTGGAAAACATCTGAGAAGTGACAGAAGCTGTTGGAGAATTCCAGGGGAGCAAGGTCACTCAACAAAAGGAGTGGGGAACAGATGACTGCAATTCTAAATTTGCCTTTTTTTCCTTAACTGGAAGCCACTAGATTTTTCCAGACAATATTTGGAAGGCTAAAGTCTGATTACCCCAAATAACAGACACAAAAAGATGTTGAGGCTTTACATATTCATTCGGCTGGTAAAAAGGAAAGAGAGAACAGTGAAATAATGTTTTATTTATCTGCTTTACGGAATTCTTCAGAGTTTGACGTCGCTGCTTTTAAATGTTTGAGAGTAAAAACAGTATTTTCATTAGATGGCTTTACTCTTTTGATATTCTTTTTGGACAAGCTGTGTGGACCCAGTCCACACTCCGGAATTTGAACCTGACTCTGTGGCTTGGTTTTTCTTAGGATAACATGGAAATTAAATGTGATCTCTCACTGCCTCAGTGGAAGAATGAATTAATTGAATTTACCAGAAAGAAGAATTATTGAGCTAAAAACATTTGTGTTTTTGCCAGGGACTCCACAGTCTTCTCTCCTTGCTCAACCCCTTTCAAACATGTGGGCATCTCCACCCACACCTTCCTGTCTGGGCTGAGAGGTGACAAGTGGGAAAGCTCATGAAAGCTCTCCTGGAGGTGCCTGAACCCTCTGTCACCTGTGGTTCTCTGATGTACGAAACACTGGCATTCTGTTTACGCCACTGTGCCTGGAAGGAGGTGCCCACACAAGGGCAGTGCCTTAGGTGGCATGCCACATAGCTCACCCTCTTTACAGGCGTTGCCCTTTGTGGTTCTATAATCCTCCATCACAGGGCAGGGGGTTGCAACGGACTGCATGTTTTTACCCCAAAACTGATAAGTTGAAATCTGAACCCTCAAGGTGATAGGATTGAGAGGTGAGCCTTTGGGAAGTGATTAGGTCGTGAGGATAGAATTCTCACAAATTTTAGAGCCTTTGTAAAAATGACCCCAGATAGCTCACCTGCCCTTTTTCTGCCATGTGAGGATATAAGGAGAAGTGAAACCAGAAGAGGGCCCTCCCCAGAAAAGACTATGCTGCTGTACAGATCTTAGACTTCTAGCCTCCTCAACCGCAAGGCATCGATTTCTGTAGTTGATAAAGCACTCAGTCTATGGGGTTTTCACAGCCAGAACTAAGCTGGGGATGTAGCTGAAGGAGATCCTGGCAGTTCTTGGGGTAGGTAGAAAGACTTCTTTGTGACTTCCTCTAACAACTTCTGTCAAATCACAACTCACATTGAAGCAAACAGCCCACTGATGTCAGCTAGGGCCTGATGGGCCTCACACATTATACTGGTCCTTAAGAGATCAAAGACGAAGTGGGCTCTGTTTTGCTCCCATTGGATCTGTGCCCAAAGGCCTCATCGTTTGAGCCTGAGGAAAGAAGGCCTCAGCCTTGCATCTTACACTCCCCTCCTAAAAATGGTCTGATTTTGCTTATCTCAGTATCCCTGTGGGGAAGATGGACCCATAACACAGCCAGCAATGTATGGATCACCTGGGGACTATTACTAGCAGTGCACGGATCACCTGGGGACTATTACTATCAGTGCACGGATCATCTGGGGACTAGTAGTGCATGCATCACCTGTGGATTACTAGCAGTATGTGTATCACTAGGGGATTATTAGCAGTGTGTGGATCACTTGGGGAATACTAGCAGTGTATGAATTATTAGGGGTGCCGGATGGTTCACAAGTGGACTCACTGATGGGGCTATGGACAAATGGGCAGATTTGAACAGGAACTTTTAGGTCACATACATGTACATTTTAAAGCCTCCTGGGTCATACACACAGGAGACATAGATGACAATGTTCATAGAAGTCCCACTCGACAGAAAAACAACTGGAAAAGAGCATTGGCCCACTGTCCAAAAAAATGAGTAAACAAAACATGGCATATTTCACATGCTAGCATACTGTTAACACAACCATGTAATGAACAAACCACAGCTACTTGAAACAGCACGGATGGACTGAGAAACACAATGTTGAATAGAAAAAGAGCCGTTCAAAAAGACTATATGCGGCATGGCACTCTTTTTATAAAGCTCAAAAATAAGCAAAGCTGGTTTGGATACACCTATGTGGGGAGTAGAAAAGAAAACAGGGAAATTATAAATACAAAATTGCAAGTAGCAGCTTCATCTGGAAAGTAGCATGAGAACGAGGTAAGGGAGGAGCACGGGGTGAAGGAATGCTGTTGGCGATGCTCTGTAGCTCTTGCAGTGGGTAACAGGCTTGTGGGCTAGTATTTCATGGGGCATAAGACTGAGATACAGATTACAGGGATTCTTTTGTAGATACGAGATAGTATGTTAAGATAGTAAGATTAGAAAATAGAAATAAATCTGTGGTCATGATGACTTACCTGGGTAAGAGAATTCAAATTTCAGAGTTCAAAAGCTTAGAAGAGATGTAGTTGAAACCCCTCATTTTATGTATGCCAAGATGACTTCCAAACTGGAAAGACATTCAGCCACGTCCATATGACCCTTCCGTGACTGAGTGGAGACAGAATTCCTGTGTCATCACTCTCAGTCCACAATGACTCTTTCCCTACTCTCCCCTGTAAATTCCTTTTTATTTTTCCTTTTCATGAAATGGTAATTAAAAGTGACACTTAGCTGGCCCTCATAAGGGATGGATTAAACACCCCTGATCCAGAAGAACAGGGAAATCATACTCCGTGGGCAAGCAAAGTCAAGTCTCTCTCTGGTTATGCTGCCTTTGGCAGTAGTGGCTGATTTGGATCTAACAGTGTACCTACTAAAGCATTAACTTAACTCTAATTTGTGGCTTTTTGCTATCTTAAAATAAAATGGCAGCTCAGAGATTTACTCGTGAGCATATTTTCTGCAATTATGATTTGAATAACGTTTTGAATGTGCATGGGATGCAGACCTGGCTCTAAGGGAAGAATAAAATGTCTTTTCAAATGAAGTGTCCATTTTCAATATTTTAATAAATTACCAATAGTGTTGAAAAGAATTGCGGTGCATCACATTGATGTATTTTGCTTAAAATCAAGTATTTGCCTCCTTTCCCCCCCAAAATAGAATGAGATAGAACAATTCAACTAATCCAGCCCATCTACCATGGGTGCCCTAGAGTGTGACCCAAGAGTCTGCCACTCTCTCTGTGGGTCTCTGTTCCTGGACATGTACTTTTCAGTGCATCAGAATCCCATCATGCTGAGTGTGATCCCGCTGTTAAAGAGCATGCATTTTATTTCTACAGCATCGCCACCTAATGCTTGCCCCTTACTTCCTTGGTCATCCTTCCAATACTGAGGAGAAAACTTGCTATGCTGAACTTGTTGAGAAATGAAATGTTTATATACTATCCTTTATGAATGATTTAAAAGATTTCCATGGCCTGATAGTCATTAGAGCTATTCACCAACTATTTCCAATTTTCTTCCTGTAAGTCTGGTGAGGTTGCGCTTCCTTCCTTTCTTGAAGTTAGATGGAGATATGTGAATTGCTTTGGCCCTTGAAATATGAGCAGAAGTGAGGTACATACATTCAGGGGAAGCTGTAAGAATCCACGTAAGATTTGCCATGTTCCTCTTCCTGCACTGGCAGCTGCAGCAGCAGGGAGATGGAATCTCCCTCATACATCCTGAGTGAGGATAGCACAGAACAGCCAACTGGTAATGGACATGTCACATGAATAAGAAATACACTTCGGTTGTTTTAAGGCCCTGAGAGTTGGGGGCTACCCCATACTGGCTGATTCATTGATTATATAGCATTTAGTCCAACTCACTAACTTTAGATCGCAAGATGTAACTCCAATATATATTTAGGCTTCCTAGAAAATATTCATTTTAACATTGTAGCCATGAATTCATAAGTTTCTACAAAAGGAACACTACTATGTAACCAACAATTAGTCTAAAATGGGAATTAAAGTAGAGGCAACAGCCAAAGAAATTGGAATCCACATTTATTGATGAGAGATATATACACAGAAGTTAAAACACTTAGTGAAATATTGGATTCACAGGTTATTTCCAGTATATAAAGAATATCCAGTTATTTTACACATGAAATGTTACAGTAATCAGTCCACATTGTAAGAAAGCTTAAAAAGCTAAAGGCGAAAACGAAAGACCTCAACTACCCAAAATGTGCTTCATCAACAAGGCATTTTCTAGTACCATATATGAGAAACAATTCAAAAATTAGTTGAAGATTTTATCTTTTTGCATTCGTTAGTCTTTGAACACTATGTGCTATAGATGCTCTGTGCTACGTGACTTCAGACCGATGGGGATTGTGAGTGTGAGGAATACACTTATTTTTATCTTTCGTTCTGGACATACAAGAATTTTCAAAGAGAATCCTGCATAAAGCCCAGTTTTCTTTCAGTGGGTATTCCATCCTAAATTTGAAAAGAGTTGAAGAATCCACATTTTCAAGGAAAAATTAGCCTGTCCACCGTATATCTTCATATGAAAAAGCCACTGCAAATTAATGTGCTTCATGCCCCCAGATGATATCATAGGCTTTACCCTTCTTGTGAAAAGAGTAGGGCACTCAGAGTTCCCTATAGCACATGGCTATTTCTTCTCTTCCTTGGGGAGAAGAAAGGGGTTCTAGGAACTATAGATCTCACTGCATTGTTTTTAGTGATAATTACACAGAATGTGAGAACATGTGCTTTAATAGGCAAGTGTATATTTGCATTAGTTAATCCCATCTTCAGTCATTCAAAACATGCACACAGAACATATTAGGTAGAGGAGGTCATACTCTCTCACATATGTGGGACCTGTGCTTCATCGGTTACCCCTCTACAACCCCCTAAGCCATAAACTGACTATTCCTGTGTTTCTAGTGCTCTACATTTTTGCAGACAACCGTGAAGTTCACAGCCAGAACTGTGCTTCTGTGGGGTTTCGCCTGCATGTCTATTTGCAGTTAGTTAGTCAGCAAGTGTTTTTCCTGTATCCTGACTCAAAAAGCCAAGGGAGACAAGGCTCTTCAGAACTTTTCAGTCATGAGCATCATGATGAGTATTTGGCAACCAGAGAGGCCGACCTTTCTCTAAAGACATGATGCTAATATGAACGGGGGCAGACTAACTTTTTGTCTCTCTAAGCCCAATCCACCAAACAAAGGAGGACTGTAGATGAATGTTCTCATTCTAAACCTACCTAAGCCTAGGTAATCAAAAGTTCCACAGTTGCATTCACCATGTATTATACAGACATGAGATGACCTTTCACTAAGAACCAGGACATACACCCAGCCCATCCCTGCTCTGAATTGTATATTTACAAAGGTGCTGGACACACACAGACTTTCAAACAATCATCAGTACAAAGGATTTATAGATAAATTCTTCACTCATATATATCCCCAAACCACACTGAGAAGGAGGAGAAATGCTTCACGGCTAGTTATCTAAGTAGGAAAAGAAGGGTTTGCAAAACACCGATCAACATGTCTACTGCATTTAGATGAATAGCCAAAAAATAACATATACATTAAATTACAATACATCTATACACCATTTCACTGAAATTACACCTAGATCCCTACATTATAGCTACACAAAGTGCATAGGCACTGTTCTTCATGCGTGAACCAAATGTCAGTGTGTACACACAAGAGCTTCATGCTTTGACAGCTAGCTGTGCTTGAAAATAGATACAATTATTGCCAGTTGAGGGTACATCTAATCTGTTTGTTTAATGAAGAGCAGATTCAGATACATGCCAATACACTTTCTATGTAACTGACTACTGTTTAAACCATGATAAAAATACTAGCCCTACCACCATCTCAGAAAGTACATTTGGTGGAAGGAAGACACCTGGTCTTTGCAGTGGCTATTGTTTTAACTTTCGGGGAAGTTACATCATCTGTTATTCACCTGAGAACAGAAACTACCTGGGCTGCTTCTAAACAATTTCAGTATGATTCTAAGCCCCCATTTCCAGCCCCCAGTGATACAGTATTGCCTCATCGCTGGTTCTAAAGAATTTTTAAACTCTCTTTAAAAATATGTGCTCAATTCACATAACAATGTGACATTTACTACCAATTTTCTAGCAAGAATCAACTGCAACAAATCTGTCCTGATTTCATCTCTAGCACTCACCCTTAGTCTCTGCTACTCAAAGTTTTCCTAAGCCAGTTTTCACATAAACATTTAGGAAGGTATGAAACATTCTGATCTAGAAATGGTCCTACTATTAACACCTTGTCTTTGATAGGCTTAGAGAAAAGCAAAATTAGAATGCTCAGCTGGAAAAACAAGGCCTGGTGTCAAAAATTTTAAAAATTAGCACCATTCCTTGAGTTAAAAAGATGAATTGTTTAGATGCAGATCCTAACCAGCTAAGGGATTTAAGCAATTCCTTGTTCTTAGTGGTTCATTTTGTTTATTGCATCACTAAGGACTGGGTTCTTAAATTTGTCAAATGTGACTATATAGTCAGGAAACAATGGATAGCTCTAAATTGCTGAAGAAACTTCTTGTGCTCTAATTAGTCATCATTCTACATGTCTGGTTATATAGAAAATACCGTAAGAAAATATGTCTGCAAAATTACAGATACTAAATAGATTAATTCAGTCTACACTGAGTTCTTCATAATTTCTGATGAATAGTTACAAACCTATAACATTATTAAAGGATAAATTAATATTAAACATATAATATCCAGGTCTATAAATACATTTTCTAATGCTCTTTATAAATAATAGCAAACAAGCTAGGGGATTTGTTTAAAAAAATGTAAGACTGGGCTGGAGGAATTTGTGGTTTTAGGGTGCAATACTGATCAGAGGGCAATATATTATCCCTGGTAACACAGACTCTTACCAGGAAGCCAAAATATATCTGCTGGCAACAAGATCAAGTTAGATTCACAGTTTGCCAGCTCTCTCCTCAAGCTGTAGAAAACAAATAGAAAAACAATATACAAAAATCCTCAAAAAAGTAGTTTTTTTATATACAAATCTCTATAGTGACCAGATAATCTGATCTGTGTTGTGCAACATGGAGATGCAATGCTGAGGTTTTTCCAAGAGAAGGACGAAGGGAGGGAGTTAAGGTGATTTGTAGAAAAATGTAGATGCCAAAGGATGAGTTTCTATAAGGAAAGGAACTCTTAAACCACCAGACAGCCAACTTTCTGATCATGTATCTCAGGGAATTCGCTCCATGGGTCCATGGGGGAGAAACCTCAGAGATGTGCTGGACCAACTTCCTTGGCTAGTGTGTGTATTTGCCCCCCACCAAAGGCAACAGGCTGTTTCCAGGCAGGCAAAATGGTTGCCATGAGAAGAAATAATGCCCCAGAAGGAGTGAGGCTGACTGCGTCATCTCCACCTCCACAGGAGATGATGACAAAGGTAACAGTCAGTTGTCTGGTTCTAACACTCACCTAAGGATTGGGGGTGTCTCCAGAGGAACCGAGGACCTGTTGCTACCCATTCTCTAAGTCAAATGCTGACTCTACAAAGCAGTGAGGTCTGTTCCAACAGCAGGTTTTATTCTCAGCACAAAAGGGCCCTGTGTAAAAACCAGAAGGACTTTGTAAAATAGCGCAATGAATATTTGGCCTGGAGGTTGGAAAGTGAAGCAGGACTGGACACAGAAAATTGATATGGTTTAGGATAAATGAAATGGGGGCTTAGGGGTATCTCTCACTTTCTGCAGGTTCTTATCTGGGTCAGTGAAGAAATTATGCTCATCTTGCTGTCTTTGCATCAGGTTTTTTGCACTAATGGGGGAAAAAAAAACAGCCAACAAACAAAACTCAATCCTTTTAGTCCTAGCTTTACATCTTGCCCCTGCAAATACTGAAGAGTTAACGTCTTCTCTAGCAATAAAGGAGTTCACAACACAATAAATACCAACTCTAGTCTACTTAGCAGAAGTTTGGACAAAGAGCAAAGGTGCCAGCCATGGCCCATTGCAGCAGTCCCGGAAAATGCAAGAAGTTGTTTAAAGATCATGGCTGGTGGCATGCACCTTGCAGAGCATGCATGGTATCCCGCCCACCATCAAAACCCATCAGACCTTGAAGAGGGCAATGATAGTCAGAAAATTCCATTCTTCTAAGTTAGAGTGTCTTGTCCTGCAATGTGATGCCCATGAAAAAGACAAACCAAGAAGAAAATGTGAAAATGAATCTGTGGGCTTACTTGTGAATGGATGTGCATATCTACATACTGGCAGAGAAGGGAAGATATTTACAAATAGTTGTGATTGTGTAAGTCTTGCACCAAATTTCGTAAGTGTTCAAGGTTATTTGCCAAAGGCTCTCAAATCCCCATACTGGCTTGGCAATTAGGATTGTTGGAGAAAAATGTGTTTTGGGTATTCAAGAGTGGGCTCTGTTGCTACAGCAGGAATAATACAATAGCTTGAGTGAGGCTATAGGTTCATCCAGTCCTCTTATGGTGACTCTGGAAGCATTTTTCCCTGAGCCAAATCACTGCTTTTATTAGGAAGATGAGTTTAGGTAAAGGGAACTTTTATTAAAAAATATTTATTGGTGTCTCAAAACGTCAAACTGTGAATGAACATGGCTACCTTCCAAGCTTGTTGTAAAACATCAAATGGATAGAGGCTTGAATTTAATTTCTCCCAAAGGGGATGAGAAAAATCTAAACTGATTATTCATTATTGTGGGCTTCTTCTACTTAAAATGTAAATAGGCCACATTTTAGAGTGGGAAGCCTCTTAAGAAGGAAACAAAGCCAAGATCATAAAACATTGGGCTCACAGGGCTGGAAGGGGATTTTAATCACTTAATCAAATCCCTTCGCTTTTCATATGGGAGAAAATGAGGCTTGGACATAAAGTGACTTGTGTAAGTCATACAGCTAAAAATGGGCAGAGTCTAAATCAAATGTTCCCTCTACCAAACCATGTTGTTTCTTATCTCTATGTCACTGCCTGAATTAGCTGTGTTATGCTATGAAGTTGGATACAATTTAATCAAAAGTCTGTTATCTATTCTAAAACCAAGCCTCACACTAACTTGTGTGATGGTTACTAAGCTGACTGGTAGTAAGGCAGCAACAATAAGTGGAATGATAGGAAATGAGGAGGAGAAGGAGAAAATTCGGGTTTTTTTTTTAGGGAAAATCATAAGCAAATGTTTCATGAGCAGCTGGAAACTCACTCTATGCTTGGAGAACAGTCTGCCTCTAGTGCCACCTGCCTGGATTGGCACTCAGTGATCCTTCCAGGCTTAACCAGAAATTACTACAGATACTGAGACCATTTATCTTCTTTGACAATTAGACTTCCAAAACTCTCATTCCAGAATTCTTTCAGGCTGTTTGCTTTAACTTAGTCTTCTAATGCACCCAGAGTCTAGCATTCTTATTCGGAGAGCAAGTATGACAATAACTGAAAATTTTATTTGCTCCTTTTTCTTGGTGTGGAATGAGTTTGGTTAGAGAATAAGTAAAGCAAACCAGCAGCTCAGACAACTGGGGAACCCTAAGAATTAGAGAGAAGCTAAGTGAGAAGAACCACTTCCACTGGGGTGTAACTGCTGTGCACTTTTATCATCAAACCAGGTGAGAGCTGATGAGACTTGTTTTTCAGGAGTTAGAACTATGGAGAATTCTCTCTGAGCATGGTTATAACTACTTGGATTTAATGCTGCATTCCATGAATATTGCACAGGTAGCTGAAGCTTTGATTCCAACAAAAGTAAAAAACGATAACATAACCTTTGTTGCTGAGAGCAAAGGGATGTGCAGTATTTGCAAAAACATGGCAGAACTGGGTTTCCTTTGGAAGACCCAGTAAATGAGATTCCCAAACACTTTACTCCAAAAGACCTTCTTGACTAGATACATCTGCAAAGGACATATTTCTCCATGCACAAGTGGAAATGACCAGAGACTCTCTAATCAACAGGTCATTGGATGCCTGGCATCACCTACCAGGAATCTCCCCATGATCTGAATTTTCCTTAAGCCTTTCTCATATGCCATGGGCCTAAATCCAGGATCTAGGCATTTTTTGGTACCCCTTCTTTCAGCTTTCATGAATATCCAGGCTGACCAGTGGTTTGAGAGGAGAAAGAACTATTTGTCTTTTACAGGGTATGGTAACGTCTGCTCGCAGCAGGCGAGGTTTGTGTCTACCCTCAGTAGGAAGTAAAAACTGAATCTGATAGCTATGTATTTCAGATCTCATCATGTAGAGTCCTATGTTGAAGATCTGTGGGATCTAGATAGTTGCCCTGATTTTCTGATGCTCTTTGTATGGAAAGCATGTCCCCAAAGATCTAAGGTAAAGCATTACCCTGCAAGATAAGCTATTCTTCTCACTGATTGGATTTGATTCATTGAATTTCAGTAAAGAATTAAGTGATGATTCCACTTGGGTTTCTCAAAGGACAAGTATGAGAAAGAGAAGGATTAAAGTCTATTTAGTTGACTTTCTCTTGAAATGATCCTGATTTCTAAAAAAAAGTGAATGAGTCTATAACAAAATGGCATTGCCAAAGCCCTGATTTACAGACCTTACAGGATGCAGTGTATGTATGTTTCTGGCCTGCTAAAACTGTATATAAATATAACATTTATGCATTATTAAACAGTAACAGACTATTACAAGCATTCATATCTATGTTGAACCAATTAGGAAAAATCTATACACACAATTGACAGGTTAAATGTATTCTATTTAGATAAAGGTTATTAGAGGTATAACCTGGATCCATTTATTCTGTTTATGGCACATATGCTGGGCAAAGAAAATCCCAAATGGGCATGGCATGGGAGAAATAAATGAGGTCTAAAAGAAAAAAAAAAAACAGAGGACATAGACATATGCCAACTCTACAGACATCTTGGATTTTCAGGCTAGTCCTGAGTTCACGAAACTGTTTATTAATATGACGTATTGAATTTCCAGATGAATGTGATTTTCTAAGTATATTCTCATGAGACTTCCTGCATATGCTAAGTCTCAAACCAGAAAAACTTGCTTTGTGAAGTTGTGTACCTTGTTTCCTCTAAACACATGTGCTGATAGATTTACATGCTAATAGGATAGCTAGGAAAAAGTGGGAGACAAAACACACCAGAAAGCTTTTCAAGCAGAGTTTTGAGAAGACAATCCTGTGACCACTCCTTTGAGAAACATGCCCATGTATAAATACCAAAGCTGGCCTTCCACAGCCCAAACAACGAGCTCCTAGACACTTTGCCTAGAGCCTCCAACTTACCATAAAAAATTCTTGGGAGCACCACTTAAAGAAAACCCTAAACAGTTTCACAGCTAAACCCAGGAACTGTCCCCTTGGTCTACAGCGTTTGCTGTAAAGAATGCGTTTTCTGCTACTACACTTGAGCATAACCCTTGACCATCCTGTTAACTGCCTGTCTACTGATAAAAAAGACCAATGTCATTTAAAAAGCAAAAATGAAAAGTTGCCTAATACTGTTCAGCAGTGATCCTTATTCAAAAATAACTAGGGTTTAGGAGACAAAAACAACTGGAATCTCATGTCTCTTGTATGTTTCAAAGGTATCTGATTTAGAAGAGAGAAGTCACAAGGAATAGATAAGAAAGGGCATGTGAGGTCCATAAACACTCTCATCTCAGAGAATTTGGGTTCTATAAACCATGAATATCTCAGCATCCCTCTGCTGGTCTCATATAATACACCCTACTCTCTCCCTATAAACAAGGTTCTACATACTTCTTAGAGTCAAATATGCTTTATTTCTCAATGATTTAAGTCCTAAGCTTACTCCCAAACCCAGCAACCTTAGGAAGATACTGTGCGCCATTCAATAAAAAAGGATAGTAGAGACATTAAAAATTTAGCTTGTATAACCAATTATTAAGGATTTGTTTGCTGTCTACTGCATGAAAGGCACTGTGTTACACCAATTACATTATTTATCCTTTAAAACTTCACAGTCTTAAACAAGGTTCCATCTGCGAAGTGATACAGAGCCATCCTTTGTTGCCACATCATGGTTCAAGGCTGCCTGGACTCTGCCACAGGAATGTCACTTTTATAGGGCTTTGCACAGATATTTGTTTTTTGTTCCTTTCCACTGAGAAGATTGAGGAGGAAGACTGACTCTGCTTCCAACTGTGTCCTATACCTGGTTTTATGTGCTTTGATAGAACATAACAAAAACCTTTCTACATATTAGATAAATACGTGTTTTTGTTTCATCAAGAGATGACATTAAAAGAGGCACAGCCAACACAAGTGTCTTCCATGTGTGAGGACAGTAAAATGATCAGGCTTTCCAGGATGAGGAGATGATGACTGAAATCACTTGCAGATTAAAAATATCTTTTTCATTAGAAACTCAAAAAATAATCTTTTTGGTTAAGCAAAGCAAAGCAAAACATAGACCAAATAATCTCACTTGATTTTACTGTACCAGGTGAAGGCAAACCAAATATAAATAAATTTGAATATTTAACTCTGACTAAACTTTATGTTGACTGTGCTCTCTTAATTTTGTCAATATGTTCAGTGATTACATATAAAATACTTCCTAATCAATTATCAAATTTAGAAAGCATTATGAAACATACCTTGAAATTTAAATCATTGTTCTCACAGATTACATAGGGTAAGGCAGAGACATAGTAGGTTCTTTAATCAGCTGCCTTTACGAGCATGGCTTCCTCTAAAATACTCTGAAACATTTTACTTAAAGAGTATATGGAAGATAAATTGTCAAAATTCCCCATGACAGGCGACTGCTTTTAATCAACCTATGTCCAAACTCTACCAGACATTTTAAGGGGAGTTACTTCTAGAGGCTTTTTAACAGAATCTCTTGTGCATAACAAGGTGAGGCATGGAGAACACTTTAAGGAATAACACACTGTGTGTTTGCTCATTTTCCCAAGTCCCTGGAGTGTACCACACTGCTTTACGCATGTCCCCTGGGAAAAGAGCATCCATATTTCTGCATCTTGGGAGAACAGGGAAGCTGGCAAGAACGTGTCTTCAATTCAAACTGATTCCTCCAGCAGCATCCATCCAAATAATAATACAAGTGAGAAAATTAGACGGTTATAAAGCATTATTTGGCAAAGACACAGCACCGTGCCTGTCATCACTGACTCACAAGAGCTCCTCTAAGCCTCGGCTAACAGATTAAGTAAACATAGAAATAGATGCATTTTTTTCCTTTTTAAAGAAAGCTTGTTTATATCATCATTTACCATAGGATACGCTGGGGAGTTTATTCAAGAATTTGCTGAGACTCATATCCTTATTTCTCACGTTTCCAAGGTTCTTCCTCAACACTGCAGTCGGCTGACTTTCCATTGGCTGCCAGAGTTACCTGAAAATAATTATCATCAACATCCAGCTTACAGGCCACGAACCAGAAAAAAGCCCTGTGCGTTATGTGGAGAAGCACCAAATCCGAGGTGATACTACATGACTGAAATATTAGTTTTAAACAGAGTTCTTTCAAAATTGAATTTGAATCTGTCTTGGGTTTCAACAGTGATCTGAGAATTTTTAAAATCCATATTTGCCTTGGGAGTAGGAACATATTAAAGCTGCTTTGCAATTTGGGGAATAACTTCTATGTTTTTAACGTTGTAGGGTGTATAACTACCCAGTGATCCATCACACAGTAACACAGTCCTTAAAATATAGTGCCCATGTGCTACTCCATACAACCACAGAGGAAGAAATCCAGAACTAGGCATCTAGTTCTACTCATGCATGTGAAAGGTTCAGTTGCAATGGCACCAGGTAGGTGGGCATACATGTCCAATTTTTAAATCAGAAATCATGACGTTTCAGCTGTGCCAAATAAGCTATCCCAGCCTTAAAAATTAAAGAGAAAAGTAGGGGGAATTAAAAGTCTGAGATCAATGGCAATGTTTATCTAAATGACTTAAATGCAGTTATTTAATAATCAGATATAATTATCAGACCATCTATATTACGCTTCCCGGCTCAAAGTGAACTGAACCTTCATGCAGAATAGGAGGTTTTCCCCTCCACTTCTAAGTAGTTTTCCTAGCTTACCTTCTGTCTGACTGTCCTCAACGTCATGTGCAAACTTAAACCCACGACTGATATTCCACATAGTGGAGAGACTGGATTTATGAAAGCATTAGAATATGGAGACATGACAAACACAGCAATGTTTGAAAAAAATCTTTCTTCTTACCCAAGTGGAAGTGAAATGCATGCATCATGACCACACACAACATGCTAGGAACAGAAAACCCAGTGCCCTTCAACGAATCAAGAAAAGCAAAATAAAAACCATTTATCCAATCCCCATTAGCCCCCCTATTTTTTTTTTTTTCAGAAAAACAGATCATGCAATTAGCAATGACTGTTTCACATGCAGTTATTCTGATTAAACTTGAAAAACTATTGTGTAACTTCAAACTACTATTACCAGGCAAGAGTTTGAATACACAGACCAACAAGACATAACAATGTTTGAAATGGTTAAAATTTTGACCAGAGCTGCAGCAAATTTGTTTCCCTTTCAGAGAACTGTCAAGAAAGACTGCCAGGGACAGAATGTCTGCCTGGAGAAAGTTGCCTGTTCACTATGACCTTGAATGTGCCTATTTGGCTCTCAGTGATGAACCACATCAATAGTGGTACAAAATTATCAATCATAGTGTGGTGCCTTTGGAAGAGCCAGACAGCGCTTGGTGAGAGGTGTTTTTTTGTTTTTTTGTTTGTTTTTTTGTAAATACTGAGGCCTATGTTTCAAAAGTATCTGGGACAGCAGCTTTTTTGTCATTTGCTTTCTTGGCTGGGCTAAAGAAAGCTAGGACTCCATTCCCCAACCCAACCCAACCCACTCCTCTCTGCTCCAAATACTTGGGTAATAGAAAAGAAAAAGGGGAAGGCATTGGCACGCACTGACATCTCAGTTTTTAAAAAGTGGGAAAGAGAGAGACAGAATTAACCATAAGGAAGTTCAAAGGAATAAATAGATGTGACCCAGATATCCTCAGAAAGAGTGTAAATTCATCTCCATGGCTCTGAGTGCCTCCTTCGCACATCATCGTCAACACAATTAACTGATTTAGAGTGAGAAGAATCAACTTGCTTTACCTAGTGAAGGCTGAGGATCAAATAACTTTCACTGAGCTGAACCCAACCATTTCATTAAAAATGTAAACAGCTGAACTAGTCGATAAACCAATAGAGCTATATTCATCATCTTCAAGACGTGCTCAGTTTGACCATTGTCCACCTAAATGTTAATTAATCAATGAGTTTGCAGGTGGTCGGCTGGCTAGCTATAGAGACTGAGCCACTATCTCCATGGAACTGTCCAGCAAAAAGGTTATCTGAAATACAGCAAGGACTAAAGATGCTAAAATGATACATTCAACAAATATTTATTGAGCCCCCTACAACATGCCAGACACTGTTTTAGGTGCTGGGTCACAGTAGTATAACTGGGGACAAAGCCTTACCCCTAAGACCTTACTTTCTACTGATGTGGATAATTCATAAACATTTCCCTATAGGGCTTGAAATATTTTGCTTTAAAAAATGAAGCAAATTTATTCTGATGTGCTTGATGTCCTTCAAAAACAAATACAGGATGTCTGAAATCTAAAGATATCTCCATGCCCACACACCTTCTTTTTCAAAAAGCATCCTACAAAATATTAAGAAGCCTCCTGAGAAACTCCAAAAGGGCCATATGCAATTAACCACTAGGATTCTTCTCAAATATAATTATGAAATTTTTAAAAATTGTGATTTTTTTGTTATACATAATTTTCCTCATTCATGCAATAATTTGAGTTCAAGTCTTATCACCATTACAACACTGTATATTCTTTTTGTTGTCCTCTAGTGCCTAATTTATGGCTTTATAGATAATAGACATTCAATAGATACTTGATGAATAATCAAAATATAGGATCTTATAGGAATGAGACAGGGGCACTCAACCAAACTTACAAGGCACACAATAAGTACTTAAATGTAATAGAACATAGAGCCATTCACAAAATTATTGACCCTTGTGGATTTAAACTAACATTTTGATGGGGAATAATCCAGCACTTCACTCAGATGTGGGAAATACTAGCTTTCCAGGAGAATGGATTATGTCCTTTACATAATCCGGTACATCTGAATTTCTAATAATTTGAATCATTTTCACTGAGGGAATTAATATACTTATGCAATTGCCTCTTGCATGATATACTTATGCAATTGCTCCTGATACAAATTTTCCTACCTAATTTCTATCAGAGTCCTTGTTCTTCCACGTATGTATCCTACATAGAGAGGACAAGCAGAAGTGTGTGCTAGTCCACTAGAATTCTGGACCTATGTTACAATCCAGCAAAGAGAATTGCTTCTGTGATACCCTTAGCTGCCCAGCAAGAGCCATGGTATGATATATATTTGTAATGACCCGGAAATAATATAGGAAGAAATTAGTCATTAAATGTGACCTTGTCAACAGAAGTCAAAAAGGTACCAGAGATCTCTGGCTGGGTTCAGACTATCCTCAGCTGCTGTGTGAAATCATTTTAGCAAACCAACCCCTAGACTTAATTCTGCTCACCTGCCAGGGTTTCTCCAAGTTTGCTTTACTCTGGTCATGACACTCTGACTTTGACAATGTCAGATTAGTTACAATGAAGGTTAGACAAAGCTCATCAGGCTTGAAGAGTTAGCACCCAACAGCTTGGAGGAGAGCCCAGAACATCCATGCTGCAGAAAGATGGCGCGGCCAGACAGTGTATGAGATGTAATGTTTTTAAAATGACATGTCTGGATAATGGTCCTGAAGGATAGCTGTTCTTTACTTGAAATTGTTTAATCACTTTTGGAGCAAGGTAATCTCAGGTCAAAATTCACCTTTCCCACAAAAACAATTAAGAAAAAAATAGTTGTGTAAAGTTATGTGGGCATATTTTTGACCGATATGCGATATATACCAAGGAGGAATATCTGTGCTAGGTTCATCAGATGATGCTTGGGACTTCTCTTGATGCTTCATCTGAGGAATCAAATATTTCAAAATCAGCAAAGCTCTACTAACCCACAAATTCTTGGGCAAAATATTCAAGGTAACTGGTCAAATTAGTCAAATGGGGTGAATGGGGAAGTCAGAATGGTTGTTGTGCATCACATGGATAAAATAAGCAACTGATTGACTCTTTCACTGTCAGACTTGTTGATTTCCTGCCAAGTTAGACACAGAATTAGATGATCTGGGACTCACAGAAGCTTGGGTTACATGATTCTTTAGGAAAATAAATGTGACAATAATACATGCAGGGCATTACGGTTTTGTTTGTTTGTTTGTTTTTTAAGAAATTGAGCATGCACTACTATATACAGGTCTCAATATCCATGAATGGGAAATGTACCTTGCACTCATCTACTATGACAGAGTTGTGTGCGGCATAGACACATTGATTAGAGTTGCTTTCCCTATGGTTCTTCATGTCATCATAAATGGATTGAGTCTTGGTCATTTCAATATCTTCATGCACTCGATGCTGGGAGTCAATGGTATCCAGCTCAGACTTGGAGAGGTGATAGACTATCCCAGCCCCAAATGAGTCACCGACAACATTGACTGAAGTTCTCATCCTGTCCCTGGGGACAAAGAACAGAAAAGATTCAGTGAGGAAGCAGTATTATGTGGTAGTTGAGAAGTCAATGTATATAGTCACAGAGGCATAGGGTTGAGTTCCGGCTCTACTTTTTATCTCTGCCTGATCTGGGTCAAGTTACTTAACCTTCATGAGCCTTGACTTCCTTGTTTGTCACTCGAAGATGGTGCTTATACTTCTCTCATAGACTGTGTGAAAATTCAATGAGTTAATGTATGTAAAGTGCTTAGCAAAATGTCTGGCAAATGGTAAACATCAATAACCAGTGGCAAAGGAAAAGGAGGAGGAGGAGGAAAGAAAGGATTAAAGAAAAATAATCTGTCCAAATCAGAATTGGTACACAGGCTCCAGACACACCCAGCTGAGTCCAGAAATCTCTCCTGATTTAAACTGTTCTGTTTTTGAAGACTCTATCTCTGCTTATCTTACTTAGTAGTTTTATTGGAAAGACTAACCACTTGTGAACTTTCTCATAGTAGAAAATGTATTCTTTTTGTAAGAATGGAAACTAACTCTTCCTTTCTCCCTGCACCCCCTTCCCTCACACACAGACACAGCTGTTAGATAAGAAATCCAGCCGTAATTTTCTCATTGACCAAAATGTGTTATAACTGCATGTCCTGAAAAAAACCAAGATACTTTATCTTGCTCTATTAACCTAAAAAATTTAAATCTTCCAGAGTGTTTCAGGAAGCAGGGAATATTAAGAAAATCTTTTTCCCAATCTTGTGTTGCAAGTTTTGACTTGAAAAATATGATGGTTAATAACTCTTTCTCTTAGAAATTCAGTGCCAGGAAAGTTAATTAAATTCTTAAGAGTAAGTTTTGTCCTCTCAATTATAAGTTCAAGCCAAATCAGTGTGAAGAATCCTTTTGGCCATGTTTACCAGATATTCAAAGTCTTAAAAGGAAGGATGCTGGAAAACCACAAAAAAATGTTTTTAAAAAGTTTAAAATGAAGGAGTAGACGTAAAGATGCTACCAAGAGAGTCCTAGCATCTAGCTTTCAATTCAAATAATACTCATTCCAGGCAAAGAAGAAACCTCAATTTGTTCTAGGAACAAAGACTCAAAATAAATTCTAGTTGCTATTATCAAATCTATTTCTTATTGGAGACTAAAAAGGACACTGCAGTAGGAAGAGTCTGGCCTGGCTCCCTTTCAAGGCCAGTTGTTTGCAAAGTATAAGCTGGTGGTCTTTCTTTCTAATTTCAACTAGAAAGAAAATGTGTAGGAAAAAATGTGCTTAGAGCTGGAGTTTAACTCTCGTGGGCATCTTTCCATCTGAGAATGCTTTTGCGTCTCTTCTGCTTTGGAGAATCTGCCTCAGGGTGATCGGTCTACACCTGAATGAAGCCTGGGTCTTGGAGGTTATCCACGAAATCCGGCACTTGGAATAGATTGCTAAGAAGCCCAGTATGTGGGTTTAGGAAGGAATGCATGATAGTAGTTAAGAAAAAGCATAGACGTTAGAGGCAGCCTGATCTGGATTCAAATGCTAGCTATGTCCCTTACCTGTGGGACAACCCTGATCATACTTGACATTTGTGAGCCTTAGTTGCCTCATTTATAAAATGAAAATAATAAAAATCTCCAAAACATAAGGTTGTTGTGAAGATTAAATAAGATAACAAAGTGCTTACATGTTTCCAGACATTTAATAAGAACTCAAAAAATTATTTAATCTATAATGTATGATTTTAATATTATAAATTATATCAAGTCAATTCAAATATATTTGTGGCAGCTTCTAGGTAGCTTATCCAAATATGGCCAGTTAAGCTACTCTCTCCCCCTGAAAACATTAATCCTATTTATAGTACAACAACTCCATGGCAAAACTCCCAACTGACTAGCTGACCTATGTGCCTGTTATATGGTTGTGGTCTAGTTTGGAGTTACTCCACTATACTTTCATTCCCTCCTGGAATGTAACCTAAGTCATATATCTGTGAAAGGAAAGTAAACACCAGACCCCAATTTACTGTGCCAAAATGAAAAAAAAAAATTAAGGCGAAAGTTGAATTATGCAAGAAACTGACTTTCCTTTTGTTCCTATGCTAAAGGGTTAATGACTTTTTCAGTTTGATAAATCCATTTCCACTCAAATTGTTGATGTAGGTTTACAAACTACTGCTTCTTTAACCTTTCGTATCAAATCTTTCCTCTCCAGAAGCAGCCACTGAAGCAACCAAGTTTTTGGAGCAGGATTTCTGAGTAAGCTTTCCCCACATTTTTTTTTTTCAGGCACCACATCTCTTCCAGGCCATCAGATCTCCCTGAATTTGAAAAAGAACTCTTGCCAATGAAATAGCCATTAGGACAGGAATGAATGGAAGACAGAGTTGTACAGAATAAAAACAGAATGGCCAGTTCATTATATTTTTATTTAAAAACAATAAAAACCCTTGGAGAGAAGGCAGAGTGAAAATTACAGTGGCTCACGCCTGTAATTCCAACACTTTGGGAGGCTGAGGTGTGCAGATTACTTGAGGTCAGGAGTTTGAGACTAGCCTGGTCTCTACTAGACCCAGTCTCTACTAAAAATACAAAAATTATCTGGGCATGGTGGTGCATGCCTGTAATTCCAGCTACTTTGGAGGCTGAGGCAGGAGAATGATTTAAGCCCAGCAGGCAGAGGCTGCAGTGAGTTGAGGCTGTTTCACTGTACTGCAGGGTGGGCGACAGAGCAAGACTTGGTTTTAAAAGTGAATGAATGAATAAATAAATGATAAATATTTTTTTAAAAAGAATAAAAGCAGATCGATGCTTTTATTTATTTATTTATTTTTTGATGCCAAATCAAGATGGAAAGGGCCCTGGACCCAGGGTGAGAATGCTAACCCAGGGCTTCTGACTCCCACTGGAGAAAATCACTTTTCACCCAAGCATGAAATAAGGAATAAGCCTTATCCCAACCTCTCAGGAGGTTGTATTAAGTGAAACAAAAGAAACACTAGACATGCTTTAAGTACTCATTGTAGGTTACGGGAGCACATGAACATGAAAGTGTTCCTTTTCTTACATCTGTTAATAGCTAAGTAGAAAGAAAAAGAAAACATCAACTCTAACGCTTTCTGAGTTCTTTGTTAGTGAATTTATTCATTCAGCAGATGTTTAATGAGCATCTTAGAGTGTGCGAGGGCACTATGCCAATTGCCTAGGCAGTAAAAACCTTTCCCACACTCCCTTTTCCCCAAGAACCCATGTACTCTTTATTTGTCCATCACCCCCACTAGAGTGAGATAAATGTTCAAACAGAAATAAGTACGGAGTGTTACAGGGTCACGTAGGTAGAACACTTTGTCACACTTGGGTCATAAGAAAAAGCTTCAAGTAGAAGTGTTTTGAGTTAAGCCCTAAGGATGTGTCCAAGAAAATGAGCTAGAGAGATGAGAGAAATAATATGCATAAAACCTAAGAGGTAAGAACACTTAGATGAATTCAGGATGGCTAACAAGTATAGTGAGAGATGCAGAACGTAAGAATTAACCAATTATGTATGGCCTTATCAGCCAAGTTCAGGAGTTAGTCTTTATCCCAAGTATAATGAAGAGCCATTGAAAGAAAAGATCATGTTTGTTCCATTGTGAAGAATGAACTAAAAAAAGCCTGAAAGAGTGAAATCCCATTAAAAAAGCCTGAAAGAGTTAGTGAGGATATGGTATGTTTGGAGAAAGATGGATTTGAGCAAGACTCAGGAGACAAAATTATAGGACTTGAAGATTGATTGGTTACAGGGAATAAAAAAGAGGCAAACATTCCTCTCAGGTTTCTGGTTTGGGCAACCAGTAGACAGTGTAACCATATGTAGGAAGCGTGATGAGTAGAGTGGGAAAGATTCTGGCTTTGGCTTGGACATGTTGAGGGTGAAGCATGTGACTCAGTTACAAGCAGATGCCCTCCATATGGCTGGTAGTACAAACTGATGGTCAGGAGACACATCTCACATCTGAGATGCAGGTGATAATAGGACTCATACCATAGAGGGGATGCCATAGAGGTGCTTAGTTAACCCTTGGAGAGAAGGCAGAGTGAAAAAAGCAGACGATCTACGCTGGATAACTGAGGTCAACCAACATTTAATGAATGGGCAAGATAAGAGCCTGGAAACCTGAAAGGAAACTAGAAGAGTTTGGCATTTTGTAAGTAAATGGAAGTATGCTTCCAAAATAAGGGTGTGACAAACAATGCTAATTATTATCTGGGGATCAAGTGAGATGAGGGTAAGAAAGTTCTTTTGATTTAAACAACAAAGAGCTTACTATTGGGCTGGCAAGAGCATTTTCAATACAGAGGCAGTGATAAAAGCCAGCTCACCATAAGCAAAAAATTGAACGCAAGGTGAAGAAATGGAGACATTACCTATAATTAGCTTACAAGATGACTGATGGAGAAAGGAAGGAGAGGAAATGGCTGAGAAAAATGGAAAGGAGATCAAATTTTTGTTTTAAGAGGTAGAATATTTGAACATGTTTAAATCAACATGAGAAGATGTTGGTGGAGAAGAAGTAATGAGAAGATGTTGGTGGAGAAGAAGTAACTGAAGATAGAGAGAAGAGGGAATAATTGATGAAGTTAGGTTCCTAGGAAGATCAGAGAGGAGGGAAGTCCAGAGTGGAGATAAAGGCCATTTCCTTTGGTGGAGGGACTGTATTCCATCACTACAGAGGGGAAGGAGTCAAAGGCAAGGTTACGAAGATAGGTTTCTAAGTGAGAAGGCGGGAGGTTAAAGGGGATCTGTTAAACGGCAAGCTGTTAATTTGGATTAAACTAGAATATCAGAGCCCTCTCATGCCAGGCTTCTCTGCCACAAGGAAGATTCCCAGAATGCCCAGCCAGGAGGTAGGTCATGGCTGTGCTGCATGGTCTCCCTTTCTGAAAATGCTGCAAGGCAGAACATCCTTGAGGCTGCCAGGGGAATGTCTGACCAACTCTGGGGAAGTTTAACAGCCCCAAGCAGGACATGGGAATTTGTGGTTT